TTAAGGTCTCTTGAAACGAAATTTCTCCCTTAAAAAAACCCCACCTTAGATTTCCACAGTACTTCTCCTCCCCCTCCCAAGTGATAATTGGGCTGTGCTTTCCTAATGACCCGGCGAGCTTCACTGCTTCCAAAGCAACAACGTACACCCGAACATGTCACATACGCATGCCCTCGTTTATGCACACACAAGATGAACACAAGAACTGTGAACAGTCACCACACGGTGAACAGGGATAAATCCTTTACCGGCATAAATGAAGCGTCACAGCCGTCTTACAAAACAGGCATTATATTTTTATCTGCCAGTTAACCCTGGAACAACATGGATTCGAACTGCAGGTGCCAACCTATGTCCGAATTTGTTTTTCTTCCCAGCTGCTATGGCGCAGGGTGCTCAGAGAGCGGATGGCAGTGGTCATCGCCGTGACCATCGCACCCACCTTTCCAGTGCTGCCCATGAGCAGGTGATCAGGGCCACGCCACATGCAGCACAGACACGTTCAACCCTTGGGCTCCTCCCTCAGCAACACTGCTCATGGCAAGAGGGATCAAAAGCCATGTGTAAGTGGGCCCACACCGTGCACACCTGTTAGATTATACTCAGATTTCTCGACTCTGCAGGAGTTCCACACCCTAAGCCCCTCATTGCCCAAGGGCTGGCTATATAATATTAACCCAGAACAGGCAGGTAGTAGGTATTGTCATATAATAAGGAGCCCTGGTGGTGGAGCATGTAAGTGTCTGGCTACTAACGAAAAGGTCAGTGGTTCAAACCCGCAGGAGGAAGAGGAAGCAGTTTGCTTCCAGAAAGGTTTGCAGGGGTGGGAACCAAGTACCAAGACAGCAGGGCTCACACAGTGCGGCCTCATACTCACAGAAAACACAGCGGAGCACGTTCACCAATTCTGGGGCAATTACAAATGTGTAATTTTATTTCTCACACCTATAAAATGTTATTTTTGTTCTTGAGAAAATACACAGCGGAGCACAATCTCCTGGCATCTCCATGACGGCAATGGCATCCATCAAGCCCGAGCCACTCTCCCCTCCGTGCTGAGTTGCTCTCCCCGAGGATCATAAGCTCACTGCCCTTGAACGTGGCTGGCTCATTTTCTTAGTTGCTGTTGTCAGTTTGCTCCCTTAGCTCCAGGCAGACACTCTTCACTAGTTAAGTTAAACTACTACTTGGTTTTAAGAAGGCTTCAGGGAATAATATTAGTTTAACACTTAAAGATTATCTCCAGAAAATAGGAAGCTACCAGGAACCCTACTGGAAAAAGCACTGTCCCTAGTTTTAACTTGCATTGCCCTCCCCTACATCCCACCACCACCACAGATTCCAGAGCATTCATTACTCCATGTGTGGACCTGGCAAATAGATTTTGGGCTTTCCCTGTCATCCCCAGCCTTCTGCAAACTGGGTGCTTAGAATATAAGCTCTGATACGGTTCCCTTCTTCAGATTTGGATTTTATTATTTATAATCCTTGGATCACACAAGCTGATGTACTTCTTCCATGTGGACTTAGTTGATGCCTCACTTAGATGGCTGCTCATTTTAAGACCAGCTTTTAAGACCTCAGACACTATTCTCACTGATAGGCAGCAACGTCTGGTTTCTTCAATGCACGTTGTTGGGGCACCAATCTCTTCAGTGATCTCTTCATAAGGCCAAGTATCAAGCAGGGCCATGTCACAGAACGAATTGTTCTTAGCTTGGTAAGAACAATTTTAACGTATTATCAA